GTCCCCCCCTCGCCGGCGAATGTCAATCAGAAATCAAAAAGCCAAACAGAGGAGGCTTTGAACGGTGTCATCGGGGGTCGAAGTGACTTCCAGCTGTCTGTGCGTGGGCCAGGCCTTCTCGCAGGGAAGGAATTGTGCTGTCACACACACCCACTGTCTTTATAGGCTCCCAGAGCCCATGCAGGGGCCGCACCTGCAAGGACAAGGCAGTGATGGGGGCTGGGCAACCTTGGAAGGCCAAATGCAGCAGCTCTGGGGCTGGGCAGTTTCCAAAGCTGCTCACTGCCTCTGAGGCCTGACTTGCACTCAAACTCTCCTTTCATCTGCCTGATGGCTTCCTCCTCCCTGGCTGACGGTGCAGACGGAGGAGGGGAGCCACCTGCCAGAAACTGAGCATTGCAAAATGTGATAATGGGATTGCGATGGCCGGTCGCCCTTGCGAAATTCCCTCACTTGCCTTATTTGCTTATTTTTATTTTCAAATTTGTATTTTTTTTCTCCCTCCCTATAAGAAAAATTATGTTTGAAACCCTCTCTCCCCCTCTCCCCTTGGTCTGAAAGTGTATTTTGACATCAAGTAGAAATAAAGTCTTACTATTTGGGTTCCAAAAAACCAAATCACCCAGAATAAGCCCCAGGCAAATGAGATCATCACACACACAAGTAAACTTAGATTTGGGTAGATTTATCTTTAAAGTATATGGACGAGTTCTCCCCCTCTCCAACTTAACCACTGATTCAATAACCTAGCGGCTGCCACCAGGGGATTTTCGCTAGTGACTCTGGCAGTCCCTCATTTTGGCTCAAAGAGCTTTTATTGAAATGTAACTTATCAGAAAAACAAACAAACAAACAAACAACACCCCGTTCATTCTAAATGTAAAAATCCAGTGAATGTAGCGAATCCCTCGAGTCACTCAAGGATTGCCAGAGACAGTTTCCATCACTTCCCTGCAGAACTTTTAGCTTGTTTAGAGTTTTACCTTTTCCCAGCCTCAGCTCCTCTGTGGAGCTGCTTCCCGTCAGGTTGCATTCACTTTTGTAAATCTGGGCTGTCTAAATGTGTCCTACCATGCCAGTAGTTACATCCTGTCTTCCATTTATTATGTTTTGAAGGTCATCGGGTGTATATTTTCATGTTTTAGTTGTTCATTCCTCTCTATTGCTGAAAATAGTATTCCTTTACATAGGCATATCATAATGTGCATGCTTGCCAGTTGATAGACATTTGGATTGCTGAAAACTTTGAGGGTCTTGGGGTTGGTGAGATGGCTCATCAGGTAAAGGGGCTTATCACCAAATCTACAACCCAAGTTCAATCCCTGGAACTCACATGATGGAAGGAAAGGATAGACTCCTGTAAGTTGTCCTGTGTCTTCTACTCAGCATCATGGCATACATGTGCCTTCCTCTTCCAACAGATAAATAAATAAATACATAAATAAATAAACATATAAAATCCAAATTAGAAGCTTCTATATTTGCTATATTTGGGTAACGCTGCTACTTTTGTGTACATGTCTTTCCTAGAACATACCTCGTTCATAGATTCCTGGGAGTGGGATTTGGGAGTTGAAAATTTAATGTGTGTTTCATTTTTTAAAGAAATTGCCAAACTATTCTTCAAAGTGGCTGTCTAGTTGTGTATTTCCACCAACAGTGAACAAAAAGTACTCCATTTTCTCCACATCCTTGCCAACACTTGTTATTATCTGTCTTCTATTTTAGCCATTCTTGTGGGTACTTAGTGGTATCTTGTGGGGTCTTTTGGTTTGTCTGTTTGATACAGGAACTTGTGTAGCCCTGACTGATCTGAAACTCACTATGTAGCACAGGTTGGCCTTGAATGTGTAGTAATTCTCCTGCCTCGGCTTGCTGGGATTACAGGCAAGCATCTTCATTGTGTATATTTGTACCTCCTAATGATGAATGACACTGAACATGATTAGTGTGTTTATTATGCATTTCTATGTCTTTGGCACGTGTGTGTGTGTGTACGTGTGTGTGTGTGTGTGTGTGTGTGTGTGTGTGAGAGAGAGAGAGAGAGAGAGAGAGAGAGAGAGAGAGAGAGAGAGAGAGAGAGAAATGCTTATTAAAATATTCTGCCAAGTTTTAAAATGAAGTTGTCATCTTATTGAATTGCAAGGTCTATTTGATAGGCTTTAAAAACTTTGATAGGATCTTAATTTCATAAATCCAGTCTTACAAGTAAGTAATTCAAATAAGACGGTTAATACCCATGGAGCCGAATAACTCCTTTAACAGTATTTTACGGTTATTCACACCCCACAGAGTGCCAGTGTCCTGAAGCTTAGTAGGCAGGCATCTTTCATGTTTAACAGATGATACTGCTGCCCAGACAGAGCGAGGGGTTTAGGTTAGGCAACGTACGGATGTAAACAAGGGCCAGTGTGAGGTCCCTCTAGGGATCTGGAAGCCAAGGGCACATGTAGAAATCCAGGGCCCAGTGTGGGGCCTGGTGCTTCTCCAAGGCTTGCCAGGAAGCAGGATGGCTGTGGACCTTGGACCCAGGCCTTGGACCTATGTTTATTAAAAAAAAAAAAAATGTGCTTATTTGGTAGGTCAGAAGCCAGGTGCCCAGGTGCCGGACTTGATGGCTAGAGAGTTCTGTTGGATTTGGCCTGGCTTCATGGCTTTGGGGTGTGCTGGACTTCACAGGTGGCTCCTGGCAGCCGGGTACCTTGACTTTTCTCACTTCATAAAGCTTTCCATCTAGGGCCGCCCTGCACAGAGCAGCTGTGCCTCTTCACCCTCAGTGACCCGACCCAGCAGGAAGACTCACCCCCCTGCCTCCGCTTCATGCTCTGTGGGCTTCCGTACCTAGGTCTGAGGTCCCCCACCAGCAGAGGTGCGGATCTTCCCTGGGAAGCCTTTCTTGCTCTCCACGGACCTTCTCTGCTGATGACTAGACCGGGTGGCTGGACCCAGGCTTTCATCCGGATGCCAGGAGAAGGAGGCAGACTATGTTTAGTTATCTTGCTCCAGACAGAGAGGTAGCTCTCGTGTAGACATTTTAATGTCTACATCAAATGTGAAATATTACATAAGCTCTTGGATCTGGACTCTCCCTGTTGACTTCTGACCTTGCCTTTCCTTTGTTAGCTCTCAAGGCTCCTAAAGTGAAGCCACCCTGCCAGGAGGGGGCTGAGTGCACCGTGCTGAACTATTCACATTGAACTCTGCATCTGGCAGGAGTGACCAGACCAAATGTGCATTGCAGCTGCCAGGGGACTCCATTCAGTGGCTTGTTGAATTCAATGGAAAGAGGTGTTAATAGAGTTGGGGGAAGCGGTGCTGTTTAAAAAAAAAAATGACATTGTGTGGCTCTGTTTGGTGTTTATTCTCCTTCAATGACTTCCAGATCAAGCTCACATGGTTTGACATCAAAAGATGCCCATTAGGGGATCCGGTTTGAGGCAAATAAGATATTCAGTGTAGTGTACTTAAGCCTCTCTTTCTGCTCTGTCTCATTTCTTGGGATGGATGTCAGATAGTCCGGGATTGCTTTGGCCCCAGTGAGAGTTCGGTCTTGGTGTGTCAGCACATGACAGCGATACCAGGGTCAGGTGTTACAGCGCTGTCAGATTGCTGGCCTCAGCCTCAAGGGTTGACACCAGCAAGAGATCTGAATTATTCTCTCTCCCTCCTCTGATAAGGTGCAGGGAGATGGGGGAAGGTACCAGAGCTCCAGATGGTGGGGCACTGTTATTATTGGTGGTCGGATTGGTGTCTCATGGAGTATCTGAGAATGAGGCTTCTCTATAAATAGTTAATGCCCAGGGAACATAGCGTTCCATTCTAACTGATCTCTGGGGGGTCTTGGGAGGAGGGTGACTGTGTAATCATCAAACTGGCTGAAACAATAGCTCTCACCCTTTCTCCTCCCACTGAGGAAGCAAACAAAGAAAAATCTCTAAACTATCCTCAGGATGGCCAGAGATAACTGCCCTCCTCCTTTGCTCAGGGGGTGTGGAATAGTGGTTTCTTGGGGATTGAGAAAAAACGTACTCTTTTTACTTCTATAGTACAAATGGGTGTACACAGTACAGCAATGTTTATTATCTTCTATCCACTAACATTTTCTTTAGAGGGTGATTGGAGAAAGTGGTCTAAAAATACTCCTTCACTGGGCAACAATGAAACTGGTTGCAAAACACTTTTCTAAGCTGAGGGTTTGGGGACCTTGATGAAAACAGAGTCCTGGCAGGTAAATAAACCATCTAAGCTGACTCCTGACACACGGAGGTTCTTGCTCTCTACAGAAAGAGCTGCCAAAGGTACTGAGTGATAAGCACCGGGACTTTGCTACTGGGAGTACCCTGCTCCCATCATCTGTGATAGAAATGTCAAAGTGAGGCCCGGGTGATCTCAGCAATTTCCGGGATTGTTTCCCATCCCCTTCGCCAACCTGCTGCTGGGAATTTCCGAGTGTGTTGCTTCACAATGTAAATGTTCAGTGGGATGCTGTTGCCTCTCTCCAGTGTGTGCGAGGGAGGCAATCCTTTCCATCTATTCAAGGCAGGGATGGAGAAGCAACAAGGGGGGAGTCTGGTCTAAGCTCTTTAGCCAGGGCCATTAGGAAAAGAGTCTAAACGGCTTGCCTTGTGCTGGAGGATGGGAGTTGAAGTGGAGACGCTGGGCTTTTATGCCATAGGGCTGCCAGTGTTAACCTGCCTAGACAAAGCTCAGGGCTGCTGGGGGAGGCTTCCCACCCTACTCTGCTGTGGGGTGTGGTAGGCTGGAAGAGTCCTACAGAAACCTCAGCTTTATGAGAAAGAAGTCTCCATTGCCGTGAGTCCTAGCTCCTTGTGAGTCCCTGGGATGAGCACCCACCTGGGTTTGCTTTATTGTGTCTCTCTCTGGCTCTGCTTCCCTCCTCTGCCTCTTCCTTCCTCCTCTTCCTTTTTCTTTGGCCTTGTACAAACCCCAACCATTCAACAGTTCTGGAGAGTAGATAGTATTTACCTCAATAATGGTAGTCTCTTTTCGTTTCTTTTTAACCCTCAATTCAGATGACGGCTCTAAGCCCACCCCCACGATGGAGACCCAGCCTGTATTCGACGGAGATGGTAAGCCAGTTTTTTACTTTCCACTCCTACTCTTTCCACTCATGTTCAGAATTGGACAAGATATCAGCTTTATATGTTTGTTTAAGTTTCACTATTATTATTTTTTCTTTTTTAATTTCAGAATTGGGCAAGATATTAGATTTACACATTTGTTTAAGTTCCATTATTATTTTTTCCTTTTTTAATTTCAATTTTTTTTCCCCAGTGCAATTGGTTTGCCCCAACCTTTTAAAAAAAGCGAAGCCTCCAAGTGACTTGTGCACACTCTCTACCTCTGGAATGGTCCTCTGTTCTTCCCAGGCTTTCTGCCTGTAGCTCAATGTCCAACAAAAACATGGTTTAGACAGACCCTCCAAGCTGCCAAGACCAGGGGAGTCATGGTGAGAAAGTCTGGCAAAGGCAGTCAGTCTTCAGCTCTTCAGCACGGGACTCAGCCCTTAGAACTGCCCACTCTGTGCCTAGAATGGTGCAGGGTTGCTGGGGGTGGGGTGGGGGTGAGGTGGGGGTGAGAAGGAAGTATATGAGTGTCAGTCTTCCTCCCACTGAAACCCCTAGAAGGGCTTCTTGAACTAAGTTCCACATCTTGGTCCTATCACTGTGATAGATACTTAAGGAAGAAAGAGTTGGCATTGTTCTGGGAAGAGCTGGCAAGACAAGGGACTTGGGCTGGATCTTGTAAGCAGAAGGAAAGAATCAGGGGTATTCCAGACAGTGAGAACTGGCCAGGGATGAGGAGGGAAAGGTGATGGGTACGGGCCACCATTAGGGAAGTAGGAGAAAGATTGGCAAGTGGGGCTGGCTAGGCAAGGGCATAGGGATTTGGGGAGTTGAATGAAGACATTTGGGAGAAACATTCTAGGTCAAGGGCAATAGTGGATAGTGACCAAATAAAGGCTAGGAGTCCCCGGAGGCAAGGGGAATGGATTGGAGGAGCTGGGGTGCAGAAGTCTGGCTCCTGTTCAAGGTGGGGGGCACTTGGCCTTCTGATCTGCAGAGACTTTACCTAGTGCTCCAGATTCCTGTGAATAGGAACAGGACGTTTGGCAGAATCAGGTTTCCAGAAAGTGTGACCATGAAGTTCAGCTTTCAGTAGACAACATGAAGCAAAATTTTAGCAGTGCTCAGCTAAGTGTATCTGGATCGTGAGACAGTGGAACAGAGAAATAAAACAATATCATGCCATGGCACCATGGCTGGGATGTTCCTAGTGTAGGCTCCGCTCAGTGAGAACTGAGAGGTGCGATAAGAATCCACAGACACCCCCCTTTGTTATTAGAAAGTGTGAGTCCCAGGGGATTGGGTGGAGGATTGAGATGATGGCATCTGGGGAGACCATCCTGCTGCTGTCACTGAAGATTTGGTTGCTGCATGGTATCTTCAGGGTGACCCCCCCAGGATTGCCACACCCTCAGTCTTCTTGGTGACCCTGGTACCGAGAGCCTGCAGGCACCCTGAGGTGCCCTAGATGAAGGTGCTTGGCGTGTGTTCTTCTTGACTGGGAGAAGGGGTTGGAGTATGTATTAGACTCACTCATTTCTTCCCCACATGGGGCAGAAGCTCAGGGAGCTGAATCTGCCCTGCTTCAGCTGTTTCCTCTCAATTGGTCTCTGCGGCGTGTCTGGCATTCGTTTGTTGATTTATCCCCTTTAAATCTTCTCCCAGGGAAGCAGTTGAGAGGGACTTGGCTTGGCCCATGTTCCTCACCTCCTGGGATAATATTTTTATTCCTTGATGGAGTGGCTTGATGGAGTGCCTCTGGATTCAGACTCCTCTCCGTCCCAGCACAGGATGCTGGGGTTGTCTCTTGGAAGCTGGTGGGGAGAAGCGCTTCCGTCACAAGGAAGAGAGAGCACGTTGGCACTGGGATGAGGTTGATATGCCAAGAGGGAGATAGCTGAGGCTTTGATGTGTAGGCCTCTGAAAAGGTTATTGCAAGTTTGGGTTATACTCCATGTCCCGTACTTCTCTTTCCCCACATATGTACACACGTTCTCTTTCTTGTTTTTTTTCTAGAAATCACAGCTCCCACCCTATGGATTAAGCATTTGGTAATCAAAGACTCCAAATTGAATAACACCAATGTAAGAAATTCAGGTAAATAATCTTCCTTGAATTATGTATGTATTCAATTCTTTGTCTCTGGGTGTCCCATAGCTGTTCCATGACTACTCATTGTGTGTATTTATTTCCGTCCTTCTCTCTCTCTCATCTGCCTTCCCTTCCCCTTCCTCCTCTCTCCTTCCTCTTCCATCTCTTCTTTTTCCTCCTCCTCTACTCCTTTTCTGAGACGGTCTCATTACTTAGCCCGAGTCAATCTCAAACTAGTGATTTTTCCGCCCCAGTCTCCTCCCAGCACTCTGCTGGGGTTGTGTCCACTCCACCTGGCTTTACGGGGTGGTTTGGGGCAAGTCATGCAACTTGTATTATCTTCTTTGTCTACAGCTATAAAATATGGAGATCTGATGAGTTAGTCTCCTCCAGTTTTTATTTTCTTCTTTTATCCTAGCCAGGATCAACTTTTATGAGTAGTTGATCTGTTTGGATGTCAAACTTTGTCAAGATGTTTTAATATTTTGATTGACTTTCTAAATGCCACCCAGGAGAATTTGAAAGGAGCAGGCTGGGCATACAGAAGTTGGACTTCAAGTGCCAACAGACTTAATTCCTCTGTTTTAAGGTTTTCAAGCTGCTTACAGTCATGCCCTTCCTGTTTTGATCTTTTGAGGTCTCAGGAATAGTGGTCAGGTTTGGCATTGACTGGGTAGAAAGGTGATGAATTCTGAGGCATGATCACATTCATAGGATTTACTTGAACATTATTTGCCACCAACCAAGATGGAACCCAACCAAGTTGACTGGCCATCAGTAGAGACTAAATATTCACCAACGGAAAACATCACACCGAACCAGAGCTGCATTATTGTCGGGGAGGATCATTCTTGCACTTAAGACATCATTTTGAGAACTATCACTTGGCATAATTTATGTTGTTAGCTGAGTTTAATTTAGCCATATCCTTCCTTTATGGGTGGCAAGGACTGTGGGCAAAGGATTCCTGCCTTTGAGTGGGCAGGCAGGGTTTTATGTGACCATTGATCTGTGAGTGGGTGTGCTGTCATTGGCTTCTCTGTTTTACAGAGTGTGCCAGCTCTGTACTATAGGTGGCAGTATGGAGGCTGGCGTTCAGGGAATGAGACCAAGAGGTGAATGGTGGGCTTTCTGTATGGCTCGGGCTGGTCAGTGTTTCTCTGTGTGACTGGCTTACTATTTGATATAAGATGGAAGGATGGGATGGTGACATAAAAGAGGCCATGTGAATTTCCTTGGGCTAGAGTATGATAGAATAGTACAGCAGTTAAAGCACAGGCTTTGGAATCAGCAACATCTAGGTATTACACACAGTGAGTGACTCGAGGCAAATAAATTCCCTGGCCTCAGTTTTCACCTATAGGGCGGGCTCTTGGTTTGTCCCTCAAAAGGCTCACAAAGTTAATGTCTGTGTGCTTCTTGACTGATGCCTGGCCAGACGGTGAGTTCTTAGGTGCGTGTAGTTATTACTATCAACACTGCTGATAACAATAATATGAGGGTTTTTTTGGGGGGAGTGCTATGCAGGCTATGACTCTGTGCATGCTATGACCCTGTGCATGCTATGACCCTGTGCAGACATTCTACCACTGATAGATATCTTTAGCTCTTGATTTTTTGGGATAGTGCCTTGATATATAGCCAGGGCAAACCTGGAACTCAGAGTCTTCTTGCCTCAACTTCCTGAGGGCTAAGAGTACAGATGTGTGCCACCATACTTAACCAATGACAGTGCTTCTTGTGGCTAGACTGGAGGAAGCTAGTGACACGTATCTTTCTGCAGTGTGTTCTCTGAGTGTAATAAAGTAATGGTGTAAGTTCTGATTACCACCCCTACGGGTTTATGTAGTTTTCTATTGTATGATCGTAGGGCCATGTTGAGAAATTGCTTCTAGGCAAGTACAACTATCTTCCTCTTGTTGAGGTGACCCAGCCACCTTTATTTTCCATAGTTGTTGACTCTATAAGGTTAGTATGCAGGACAGGCTAGTTGCAGGCGAGCTAATTGTTCTTTAGAGGAAACACATCAAGGAAAATTACTAGGCTTTGGTTTTAGTAATCACTTAACAGACTAGAATATTCTCTGTCATTATCATCTGGCCATACTGACTGATACCTGTCAATCTTATTGATGGAATCAGGTATAAAAGACATGGTTCTGCAAGAGTGTTTAGCAGATAACAAGTGGCCACCTGACTGTTTTTGCAGATAAAGTTTTATTGGGACACAGCTACAGTGTTGTTTTTGACCATTTTCACCCCCGAGAATAGGCTCAAATAGCTGTCACAGAGTCTGTATGGCCTGGAAAGCTTAAGATACTTACTTTATGATCTTCCACAGAGAAATTTTTCTGGCCCCTGGTATACACAGTTGAATATGGCATTTGAGTGGGAGGTGTATGCACTCAAAGTTTTTGGCCCCTACCTAGCAGAAGCAGCAGTTGTGACTCCTGAGAAGTTTCATGATGTTCCAGGTCAGCCTGTACTGTCACAGGAACTCCTGGGGCCCCTTACAAGACTCATCATCTCACACGGACTGTTCTCAAGCTTTTACCATTCGGTTCTGGTGCATGCTATCACAACTAGTCACCAAGGAAGCTTCAGGATGTCTGGATTTTCAGGCAGTGGGGTAGAGAATCTTTTATACACAAGCCACATACTGGTCGAAGCATGGGCTTTGGAATCAGATGGACATGTAGACCTGGTTTCCCAGGCTGCCTTTTCTTGCCTTGGAAAGCCAATCAACTTCGCCGAGTCTTGCTTTCCTTGCATGTAAAACGAAGTTATTGCCCTTTAGGGTTTTGTGAGGCTTCGGTTTTAGACTTGTAATTCTTGACACGTAGGTTTACCATAAATAACTTAAAAACAAAATAAAGCAAAGCTGCTTCAGTGGAGTGCCTTTTTGCACTATGCTACCCATCCTTACATGTTGGTACATCTAGTTAACGACCAATCAGACATCCTTAGATGAGAACTTGTATCTGGTCCATTTGCTCTTCGTGAGGACTGGAACCTCAGAGTTAAGCACCTGAGTTCATTTTTTTACTAGAGTTTTGATGGAAGATTCTGGGTTCAGATGAACTTCAGCCACATACACAGGGAGGTTGGAGTCAGACTCTGTGAAGTATGCCCGGGTGAGAGCTCATCTTCTCAGCCTTCTCCCAGAGGGGGAAAAAAAAAGGCAATTGCAGTTTCTTTTACACCCTAAACATCCTTTTTTCACACTCAGACCCTGTGACGCCAGGTTTGTTTTCTGGCCTGGGGACTGTTGACGTTGGAAAGGTTCCACTGGGTGCCTGAAGTTGTGCAATAACATGACACACACGCCTGCAGACGTATCCAGGCTTCTCCCCTCCTGGAGGGTCTGGCTCTTTCTGGAAAGCTTTGCCATGTGCTCATATGGCTGCTGTGGCCTTTTGAGTCCTTGGCAAGTTCGGCATATCCAGATTCGCCTTTCTGGTTCTCTCTTCCATGACTTCCTCCCTCATACCTCCCTTCACAAGCATCCGTGGCTCCAGAAATTCTTTCTGTATCTGGGAAGAGGATGCTTCTAGCCAGCTAACACCCCAGACCTTGGGAGCAGTGTGTCCTAGATGAGTGCTGGCCAGGCCTCTGCTGCCTTTTCAAGGAAATGTGAACTCTTGCTGAGTGTTTTTTTTTTTTTTTTTAAATCCAGAGTTAGGAATCATGACATTCCTTAAAATACTTGGCATTTAAAATATGTTCAAGCCATCTCTTTATAGAAGAAGGTAAAGAGATAAGATAAACGACAAGAATTAGCCTTATTTGACCATTTTCACTCCCTGGTTCTAAGCTGACTGTATGAAGATACTTTATACATCTTTTTTGTCTTTTTATGATTTCTGTCTTTTTGTTTCTATATGGCAAAATACTGTGCTTCCTCTTCTGAGAAAGTGCTGTCCCTCAGGAACTGGGGTCATGGATGTGGCCACCATGCTCTTTGTGTGCTATGGCAACACTCCAGGGCCGCGACATGTTTCCTTTTGCCCTGGAAGCCTAGGCTAGTGTCTTTTCATTTCCTTTCTTCTTATCTCTCCTACAAAACTCATGATGCGATCAGGGGCTGCAAGAAGGACCCAGAACCTGGCCCCATGAGTTATGTCTTAAAGTCTTTCCTCCCTTGCTTCCATGACCTGCATGTGTGTATCTGTGGATGAAGCATCTCATGGTCACTCTGTTCCCTGGAGACAGAGCTACCATTAGGAACCCCAAGTGGAAACACATCTTTTCAACATTTTGCAGTAAAACAAGATTCCCATTTCTTCTTGCACGAGAACATCTGTGTTTGTACACATGTCACAGGTAGGCCGGTTGACAGTATTCTTGCCCTTACTCATTTGGGCACGTTTTTCTTGTAGGCCAGCTTCTGGGCCACTGGCTACAGTTGAGATTGCTTTCCCACCCAGGAAGTTTCTGCTGCGAGAGCTTCTGTGACTGGGGTTTGGGGTCACAGAGGCAATGGCACCTCCTGGTTGGATCCCCACCCCCACAAGTCTATCCTCTTTGCCCAACTGGAAACCGTGGGCTGATGTAATGACCTGAGGCTGGAAAAATAAACAGCTTGCAAGGAAACCAGTGGTAGCCGTTGTAAGCAAATATCCCACAGCCACCTGGAATCTCACACATGACGTGATTGGGAGGAAGAATGAGTAATCTACCAGCGTTAGCAACTGGGACGGGCCTGGACTTGTGTGCATTTAAAATATCTATATGAAAACACATCCTGTTACTGGCCTTCTAGGCTGTCTGCCCTTTGGGATCATGAAGATACTTTGGTCAATCCTGGCCAGTAGGATTGAAATGAGGATGGGACCAGATGGCCTTTCCCAGGGCTTACCCTGGCAGCAAAGGCTTTGCCCTTCCTATGTTGAGAGGAAAGATGATTATTATTGGAGGCTTGAGAGCCAGGTCTACAGTCCAGTTCGACCTTTGCTTTAACACTGACTTTCTTGATCACATAACTCTGTTACCCCATTACCCCACTGT